CGACAGGTATAAAATGATAACTTCTATTGATGTCTAATTTTGAAAATATCTTTTTATCCGGAAGAATAAAAGTAAAATCGTTCAAGCGAGGAATCGGGTATCTGTCGGGCTTTGTTATCGCATTCAGCTGGCGATAGTCCCCACAAGGTCTTATATCTCCATTCTTTTTAGGAACTACATGGAGCGGACTAGCCCACGCGCTCTTTGAAGGACGACAGATGCCCAGTTCTTGCATGATGCGAAATTCTTCTTTAACTTTTTTATACCTGTCAGGTGGCAACGGGCGCGCTTTCGCGTGCACGGGCGGGCCAGAGGTCTCGATATAGTGGACGACATCGTGTTTCGTAGTTTCTCGGAATGACGCTGGTTTAGTGATGTCCGGATACTTTAACAATAAATCCTGATGTGGATGATTTACATCAATAGTTTTAACACTAGGTTGAGATACATTGACAACAGATGCCGAAACATTCAATTCTGTAGTTTTATCTATTAATTTACGCGCGTTTAAATCAACTAATAGTTTGTGGTACGCTAAAAAATCGGCGCCCAAAATTGGTTGTTTGACATCTGCTACAACGAATTCCCAACGATAAGGTCGGCCTAAGTTTAAGTTTAACACTATTGTCTTGGTACCGTAAGTTGCGATTTCATTGCCGTTAGCTGCGTATAATTTATATTCACTACACTGATTTAGACGATCTTTTCTCACGGCTGGTAAAACAGACACATTGGCACCGGTGTCAACTAAAAATCTAAGTCCGGAGTTACTGTCTGACACACACAAACGATTGAATGGAAAAACGGTACAGACCTGAAGACCCTCGGACTGTACCTCGCTGCTCAGTTTTCCGGCTGTGTTGTTTTCCACGCGCAAGGCTTCGTACACCTGTTGGCCTTTTCTCGGAACCTGTAATGGTAAAAGCATAAGTAGTTCTCCTTCCGGGGACGGCAGGGACTGCTACGGCGCCTGGACTGTGAACGACGCCGGTTGCGATCAGGGGCGCGGGACCGCGACCTCTGCTGATCGATCCGGTCCACGGTAGCCTTTATTTTAGCCACCTCAGCTCTCAACAGGGCCAAGTCATAGGCGGTAGTAGATGCTGGCGCTGGCACGGTGTAAGTAGCGGTGGCGGCATAGGAAGGCCGCACAGCCTCCATGACGTTATCTGCAACTGCTGCTAGGTTGTCCAGGTCCTTGGAGTCGGACACAGTTAGCACGGCTCGGACTTGTGTCGGAAGACGACCCTGCCACAAGACGCGAAGGGTTTCATCAGGAACCTTGTCAGTAGCGAGCTCACGCATCCGCCGAAGCAGCTGAGATGGTTTCTGGTCGCCCAGCTCTAGCTCGCTCATAAGCTTCTCGATCTGCCTCGACATTGACTCCTCATAGATGTGGAGTAGCCGAGCTTTGAGTGCGTCGTACTTGTAGGTAGGAGGCGGGTTGAGTAATATGTCCGTCACTTGCGCGATAACCTCCTTACTTAGCTTAGACACGACCAGGTCAAACTTCGCCTCATCACTCAACCTCTGAGGTGCGAGGATAGCTTCCGTGCGTACGAACCATACGCGTGGCTGGTCCGTCCAAAAGTCTGCGAGGCGAGACTGTAGGGACACTGCATCTACACCTGGCGCCATAATGGGCGGTTGCGCAGGTGGCTGGATGTCTTGAACGGGTGGCACGTTAACAGGCGGCACGTTCTGTGACGTAGGCGGAAACGGCGCACTCATGTTACTATATCTATTGTCCACCGATCACAACCACGCGAATATTGCCCACTACTGCATTAACATCACATAGACCACTTCGGTCATCTTGATCACGTCGGGGTCACCAGTTTAGGAGCTGACTCCATATGGGTGCCTATTGGTGACCATAATGAAAGATGAAATCTTTTACTAATATATTTATTATAGCGGAACGTGCCATACAGTTGGCGGGCAACTAGTGACTGGTTGAAAAATCTTATTCACTACATAATATAGTTACAATACAACATTGCGAAGTTTACATGTGTGTGCGCAGCACACCTACAATGTCAACCTCAACTTTATAAAGCATGTTGATACAACCACGGAAAAGGCAATCCAACTCTACAAAAAGGTCTCAAGAACAGCTAGAGCTAACTGGGGTCTCAACCCAGAAATCCTTAAAACTATATATATCACGGTAGTTGAACCCACAGTGTTATATGCGGCGGGGGCATGGGGCCTAACAGCAAGTAAAAAATAAGTAAAAGTCAGGCTTGACAGAATCACCAGGATATTTGCAATAATGATAAGCAAGGCACACCGTACGACATCTTTAGTATCCTGCACAATTCTAGCCAGATTTCTACCCTTAGATTTAAGAGCCAAAGAAAATGCCAAGATCTATATGATCAAAAGGGGGAAACCAATTGCGAATTTACCCGGCAGGAAACTAGCCAAACCCATACGAGGGTGTACCCATACAAACATGCAAACATTTTGAGTGACTCGCAATCAGCGTTAGAATGCCTCACGAATACAAACACTTTACACCCTATAGCAGCAGAGATTTTAGCCCGTATCTCAGAAATAGAAAGAAAACAGGGAAAAGCAAGATTGTTTTGGATCAAAGCCCATTGTGGTATTCAAGGGAACGAAAGAGCCGACGAACTGGCTAAGTCAGCAGCAGAAACATTAAAACAGACGCCTGTTTACGACTGCTTCCCTCTGTCTTTTGCAAAGCGCCACATCAGGGATAACACTTTGCATACCTGGCAAGACTTATAGACCTCATCAGACACCGGAAGAGTCACGAAAAAGTTCTTTCCAAACGTGATCCAGGCGTATACAACATTAAAGAAGATTGCAATAAATAACTTAAGATATCAGATTTTTAGAGGACACGGAGGTCTTAATACATATTTGCACAAATTTAAATTAGCCCAGAGCCCACACTGTGGATGCGACCATGTAACACCACAGACAATAGAACATCTACTAATAGTGTGCCCTAGATTTGCGAGTTTAAGAATTTGTTGCGAACACCGTATGGGCTTTCCGATAAAAGAAGACACTCTGTGTAGGGCGGTCAACGACAATGACAGTCGCACTCATTTTCTTGTATACGCCGAAAGGTGTCTGAGAAAAGTGCTACAAGAAAATGGGTCAAAAATATATTAATATAATTTAAGTATAAGAAAAAAAAATTTTTTGATGTAGTATTAGATATACATAGTCTTAGAAGCAGTAGATGATAATAACTATAGTAAGGCTAGCGATAACGATAACTTTAATACTTAACTTATTTTAAAGCTGGTAGCAAGAGCGTGTATTATCAATAGAAGCATTTAGTATAGCTAGTATAGCTTTTTAGCAGATAGAAAACTAGCAGTAGTTAGCGGTATAGATGAATGTATCTAATGGCTCATTGTAAATAAAGACAGAATATTGTAAAAGTAGTAAGTACAGAATAAACTGTACAACTGCCTAACTGTAAAAGCATAGGTAACAAAAAAAAAATTAAGACAGGCAGTCATGACTCTAATGTAGTAATATCTGTAAGTGAGATATTTTATAGCTGCTAGCAATATTGAACTATGATGATACGGCAGAATAATATTGTAAATTACTTATGTTAAATAATTTAAAAAAAAAATACAAAAAAAAAAACAACGAGAAAGAAACCAAAAGTTAAAAAAAACAGATATCAAGGATGCTGTAAAATAAACAACAGCAGATGAAATGAGTTGCATAAAAAAAATCCAACCTAACCTAACCTAACCTAACCAGTACACATCGGAAAGTGACATATTCTACATAAGCTCCACGGAGAAATTGCTTAAAAAATAGCAATTTTTGAGCTACGCGAGTGGAAGTGCTGTGAAAAAGTTTTTAAGTGTGCAGTTCATCAGTGTAATTGGGGAGAATTCTGTACATTGGCTGGTTTAGGAGCAGTAGCCTCTTAACTTTGGGGATAAATAGTGTCGACACCATCAGCAAAATTGCCAAGTGCATTCCAATTTTTGAAAGCCGTATAGAGATCAGTCAAACGGCGAAAAAATCAAGAAAATCGGCCCACAAACGCAGAAGTTATTGACTCCTTAAAATTAACAATTTAACTTCAAACCACGTGGTTGCAACGTGCTTTCAGACGTGGAGGTTAAAGCGAGTCAGTTAACACGAGGCGTCCGGCGACGGTGCAGACTTCAGTGGAGCCTTCGAAGACGGACCGAGGAATCCTTCAAGTATACAATCGCCGCAGCTGGAGACACTTTCAACGGCCATCAGGTAAACTCCGAGGGAACTCCTAGACCCCTTCCTCCTGACCACCCGAGCTTGGACTCATTTGAGTCAGTTTCTCAAGACCCCGCCACACATATCACCTCCCCCATTATAACAACCCCTATCCTTGACCCCCCCACCTTTAACACCCTCTTTCGCCCTCTCTACCCTCCTAACCCCTACAATCTTTTATTTTATACCAGACATACACTCCTTACCGTACCTTACCTTAATTCCCCTAACCCCCCCCTCGAGGCTTATCTCTCCCCCGCGAGCCATAACTAGTTTACCAGAGGAGCTAGACCCCCGTGTAAGGGCTGATTTGAATCAGGAAAAAGAGCTCTACCTTCTGGCCCCTACAGAATTTTGATTTTCCACCACAGTCCGATACCAACCCGGACAATAACGCCTCAAGCATACTCCAGGACTCACAGCATACCAACCGGAGATCCCACAACGGGCTCTTTTCTTCGCGGTCCATCGTACTCCTCACAGCAATTCAACCATCGAAGAACATCAGCAGTGAGTTCACAGAAAAAAAAATTATAATAATCATCATTAAATATTATATATATATATATATATATATATATATATATATATATATATATATATATATATATATATATATATATATATATATATATATAATATTTGTATTATATTTTATAAGGCATTACCTATATTTATAGTTATTAAAGGCAACTTACAATTAGAGAATCTTTTAAATTTTTGCATACTATAAAATAATGTCAGGAAATAAAGTAGTCTTGTCGGATGTGGAGACTGCTTCTTCAAACAAGTCTTCCCAAAACTTTTCTGTTGCTCCACCTAGACCTCCACGATCGCTGCGGGAAAAAGTACTTACAAAATCTACTTTAACAAAAGCAACTCCTAGCGAGAAGTTGTCGCAGCCATCATCTCATCCTGCAACAGGAAAACGTCCAGCGGACTCTGCTCCGACAGACGCATCCATAACAAGCAAAGAAGCTTCTTCGCACACCCCCACTCTGCGAACTAAAATGTCGGAAACTTCTGTTAAAAGCGACAGCTCGATCCGATCCTCCGTTTGTGACCTCGACCTTTGCGGCTCTCGACAAAGTAGCTAACTGGAAGCAGGAAATGGTGGAAATTCCTCCACTTCCAGTTTTATCGGACGAAGAACTTTCGATCACATCTGCGCCGGAATCACCACTATCGGAGGCACCGGAAAAAGGAAGACCCAGCCTGCTTTTTAACTCAAACAGGCGACTGGGGGGTGGAAATGGATATGGCAACAAAAGAAGCGAACGAAATGCTTCTGAGAGGGAAGGAAGCGCTAGAAATGGCAGGGAATATGAAGAGGGAATGTAAGTTAACAGCTTTAGAGAGTCTGCAGTCCCTCTACGAGATGGTCCTGGCGCTGTCAGATTCCAGATCTAGACTGATGAGATGGACATCTGCTCCGCTGCAATTAACTGCAACAGGAAGGTATTCTTAGCGATAGCTAACAAGTGCTTGAAATTGGCGTACTTTCCCAAGCAGTGGAAAACTGCACACGTGGTCATCTACGTAAGCCAGGAAAGGATGACTATACATATCCAAAGTCATACCGACCAATAGGTCTCCTGTCAGTACTCTAAAAAATAGTCGAGAAGTTGATGGTGGGCCGACTCCAGTGGTACATCATCCCAACTCTTAATAAAAACCAGTATGGGTTCATGCCTCAACGTGGTACTGAGGATGCCATCTATGATCTATTGAAATATATCAAAAACGAAGTGAGGAATAAGAAGATTGTCCTCGTTGTTTCATTAGATATAAAGGGAGCCTTTGACAACGCATGGTGGCCAGCATTAAAACTGCAACTAGCCAAAAAGAAATGTCCCAAAAACCTCTACGATAAGGTTGGCTCTTACCTGCAAAATCGAAAAATCGTAATTAACTATGCCAGAGCAACGAGTGAGAGGGGAACAACAAAGGGCTGTGTTCAAGAATCTATCGGTGGACCAACCTTTTGGAATGTTATCCTAGACTTACTACTGCACCAACTTACGAACGAAGGGATGTATTGTCAGGCATTTGCAGATGACGTCGTCTTGGTATTCTCGAGCCACTCAACGAGTGCCCTGGAGCAACATGCCAATGACACTTTAAAAAGAGTAAACAAGTAGGGAACCCAGAACAAGTTAAAGTTTGCAGCGCATAAAACAAATGCAATGCTTGTTACTAAAAAACTTAAATTTGACTTTAGACTGGATCCATCCTCTACAGTTTTCCAATCCGAGCTCTATGCCTTGCTCAGGGCGACCAAACTAGCTGAATCGAGCACCGAACCTGTCGTAAACATCATGAGCGACTCAAGATCTTCGCTCGATCTGCTGGCGAACTCTAAAGCAAGCCACCCCCTATCAAAGGCCATTCAAGAAAGCATAGGGAAGATGAGAAATGATGGAAGAGTGATACGGCTGTTTTGGTTGAGGGCTCATGTAGGCACGTCTGGAAATGAGAGAGCCGATGAGCTCGCCAAGGCGGCGGCACTGCGGGAGAAAGCCACTCTAGACTATGACAAAATCCCCATGTCCTACGTTAAAGTGAAAATCAGAGAGGAAACCGTTCGCATCTGGCCAGATCAGGGATGAGGAGGATCATCAGGACAGATACGAGACCTCGACCACTGGGCAAGTCACCAAAATATTCCTACTGGATGTTGCAATAGCATACCGGATAGTAAGAAAGACGAAGTTGACACCCACACAGGTACAAGTGTTAACAGGACATGGTGGAATTGCGGAGTACTTGCACGGCTTTAAGCTTATGGATACTCCAGTGCGAGTGCGATCCCAATGTCAGTGAGTCAGTGTGGCAGCATTCTGGAGTGTCCCCGCTATCAGGCGGCACGTCTGGATCTCGAGTTTTGCATTAACACCAATCTTGACAAGTCTGACCTACACAGAATCATCGAAGATGAAGACAAAGGCCCAAATTTCTGGCATTCGTGGAGTCCATCTTTCGCGCCGCTGCAAAGCGTAACGCCACGAATTATCCATTCCCCAGGCAGCAGCAAACTGTTGCGGAAGTCGCAGAGGTTTCCGTAAAAGAGAAGAGCATCCCAGCCAATTAAGCAGAACATCAGCTATTTGCATGCGCTGAAAGAGGTAACCCAGGCCTGAGAATTCGAGGAGTGGCTCTCTTCATGCGTCAACAACACAGAGCGTTTCGGCTTAAGTTTTTGTTTAACAACTGGCCGAAACTATGTCAAAATATCTCCCGGTCTCGCAAGCTTACTAAACGGCAGTACTCACAAAACGAGCATAAAGCGCAAAACATATGAGGCGCTAATTGAAATAGAGGTTGCAAAGCAACGATGTCGAATAGTAAGATCGAAAAACAAAACGATCTTGCTGTTCACATGGAGCGAAGAAAAAACCCCATTCGCCCAGGCATGCTCACTGCTAACGAGACTCGGTGAGGAAGAGACAGCTGACATACCCCGCATCATAAGTGTGGATGCCATGGTATCCTATATGAGAAAGGTGAGGACATGGACCACATTGGTTGCATAAAAGCCTCAAACAAACATGAAATAGTCGTGTATGAGGATAGGGGCGAAAACCTGAGCTTCCTCAAACACCATGACTCAACAAAGGCAACCCAACATCTTGTCAAATCCAGAGACACTTAGTGGCTCAGAACACCTGCAACCGAAAACGGCCAACGAAAAGGCCGCAGCCAGGGAAAACCTTTCTCATATTCACTGAGCCGTGGTAGCTCAGTGGTTAACGCTCGCTGTAAATATAACAGAATGCGAGTAACCCGGGTTCGATCCCCGCCGGCACCAATGAAATTGTTAATTGCAATTTTAAGTGCTGATTTACCACGTGCTCGGCGGTGAAGGAAAACATCGTGAGGAAACCTGCATGTCTGAGGAATAAGAAAAAAAATATTTCGAAGACATGTGAAGTTCGTCAACACGCATTTGGGCAGCGCGGCGGACACTTCCTTGCCCTAAACCCTCTCAGAAATAAGGGGAGGCCTGAGCCCTGAGCAGTGGGACGTATATAGGCCCTAAAGTAAGGGAAAACCTTAGCAAAAGTTCTGAGTCACAAAGCGGGGTAAGTGCACTAATTAAAACCATCAGTGCAGCGGCCCAGAGCATTCCAGGAAGAGCAATGCGAAAGTTGAGCAAGTTAAGACAAGTCGATAAATTAATAAGAGAGCCTCCAAGAGTACTCAAGAAATCCAAACCCACCCACACTAGACCCCGCTCGGGACGTGTCAGCCCTCCAAGACTTCTACCGGCGGTCGAGCCTAAAAACCACATAATCAACGCTTTCCTAGAGTTTAAGGCCCTCATAAAGCAACTCTTGAGGTGAACCAAACTACTTGCAAGAATATCTTACAAAGTTTCCACCTCGGTCATGAGTTCCTTGGGGTGCAGCTCGAGGAAGCAGAGGCCGCTATTTCTGACAACAAAACATCTATTGTCATAAGAGGTAAAATGGGTCATCACGTGGCGGCTTATAGCGGGTCAGCGGGCTTTGTAGCCTTGGATGAGGAGGAGACAGAACGACAGGGAAGCCTTGTATTCAAAACCCACCCCAACGACCCTATTGTGGTCACCGCCCGTTGTACCAGGGTGATGCTAGAGGACAGGATCCTGAAAATGGCGGAAACCATCTCGGGAGCTTGTGCGTTGGGAAATCCTTGGGAAAACTGGACGGTGCCGACAATAAATTGGGTCAATGGATTCCCGGGCTGTGGCAAAACAACTTGGGTTATAAATCAATTCGATGCGGAGGATGATTTGATTGTCACAACAACAACAGAAGCAGCTAAAGATCTTAGAGAAAAGCTAGCCAACCGCATAGCCACTGACGCAAAAACAAAAGTGCGCACTACGGCCTCAGTTTTAGTAAATGGTATGAGAAGGCAAAAGGGAAGATGTTCTCGACTTTTAGTCGACGAAGCCCTCATGAACCATTTCGAGGCCATAGTAATGGCAATGCGGCTAAGTGGAGCGGAAAAAATACTGCTTTTTGGTGACATCAATCAACTCCCTTATATCGACAGGGAAAACCTCTTTGCGATGCAATATACTCGACCAAGCCTCGTAACCACTATCAGCCAAGAGCTCCTTTGTACGCACCGGAATCCGATGGATGTGGCATATGCCCTGAGTGAAATCTATAGTGGCATTTATTCATCCAGATCTCAGGTGTACTCACTAGAAAGGAAGAGATACACTGGAGTCGTCATACCAGGTACCCTGCCCGACACCTTATATCTTGTATTTACGCAAGCAGAAAAGGAGTCCCTTACCAGCCAGGGATATGGTTCGGGTCCTGGGTCGCGAATTTTAACCGTACATGAGGCCCGAGGTCTCACATACGGGAGAGTGGTCATAATGAGGACAACAACATAGAAGATCAAAATTTATGACAGCACGTACAAATTCACGCAGTAGTGGCAGTGTCCAGGCACACAGAAAGCAGTGTTTATTACACGGACGATTGCGACGATGCAACTGGAAGGCTGGTTGAGAGCGCAATGGCTGCGACAACGAATATAAGCAAAGAATATAATCTGAAAATGGCAATTAGAAACAGAGACGAAGCTATCGTGGAGGCCCTGTCAACAGATATCACAAACAGTTGAAGATGAAGCACTCTCCATGACATCAAGAAAAAGGAAAAGAATTAAAAAAAATCTGCCAATATAATAAATTAACATAGCATGTAAGGCCATATATCTTAAGTATATAGATTATGTTGATAACTATATAAGGAAAAAAAAAGAAAAAAGAAAAAAAAATTAAAACACAAAGTGGGTCGACAATAATTATGTTTAAACAACAAAAAAAAAGAGAAATAATAATGATGCCACAAAAAAAAACAAAAAACAAGACAAAAAAACAGGATTTTATATAAATTAAAAAAATATATAATATAATTAATAAATAAAAAAGTGATATAATACCAAAAAAAAAATTGCGTGTAGGTGCATGTAGCATGTAAGCATATCAGTTTGTAGATCTTAAGTATGTAAGAAAATAGTAATTAAAAAAAAATTGCAAAAAAAATATATATATGTGAATTCACTGCTTAGGCTTAAATATTTAAGTAATGTAAGTAGTGTAAGGAGTACATTTATAACAATATTTTAAAAGTTAATAAAATAAAGTAAAGCAAAAAAAGGTGCGGACTTCGAGTCTGTAAACTTATTGGAAAAAAAAACCTAACCTAACCTAACCTAACCTTTTTTGTACATGGGGAAATGCCTACGCATACCCGCCTCGCGGGGGCAAGAACGGGTTATGTCGGACTCGCACCAACTAAAACCCCATGGTGTTCCACCATCGTCGCATATTGGCAGGACCACGGGAACGCTTTCGCACACTTCCGCGGCCCTACCAGCGCCTGCCGCCCCATGGCCCCATGGGAGCACCTCCTCGGGAGAGGAATATTCCTCCCTGTTCTCCTTCCCAGGTAAGGCGCACCAGAACACATGGCGCCTCTTCCGCCACGGCCTCCAATTACATCTGCGTAACAGACGCCCCCGCATCCGATGCACGAAGGCCATGGGGCCAGGAAAAACGAGCACTGAGAAGTACTAGCCTTCCCATCCCCAGCGGCGGATCTGGTCTATGGTTCCGCCGCCAACCAAGATTCGGCTGCGGAGGGTAGGGAGAGCGGCGCCTCGCAATACCGACAATCCTCTCCCCCCGCAGCCCCACCACCACCGCATCAAAGGTGCGGCCCCGTTTGAGTCGCGGAGGATAGGGCGAGTGGCGCATCGCCATACCAACACTCCTCTCCCTCCGCGACTCCACCTCGGCTGCAGCGGTAGAGGGTGCACTCCCCTCTACCGCTGCAGTCCACCTGCACACATCCGAAGTGGGCTCCCCAAGCCCACTCGGAGTGGCCACCTCGGGCCGGCCCTTCACCTCGGGCCAGCCACGTGGGTTCCTCTTTGTTCACCGCGGGCGACCAAGCCACGGCTACTAAGCCCCCCCGCCACGACAAGGCGGGAACCCGTTCGGGGGGGGGGAACCTAACCTAACCTAACCTAACCTAACCTACACCTAAACCTACAGGCCGATAGGTTTACTACCAGTCCTGGGGAAAATGGTCGAAAAACTTATGGTGGGTCGATTGCAATGGTACATCTTACCCAAGTTAAATCCGAACCAATATGGCTTCATGCCACAGCGCGGAACGGAAGATGCCCTCTACGACTTAATGGACCATATAAGGTCAGAACTCTACAACAAGAAGATGGTGCTTATCATCTCTTTGGATATAGAGGGAGCATTTTACAACGCATGGTGGACAGCACTCAAGCACCAGCTCATAAAAAAGAAGTGCCCAAGGAACATCTACGCAATGATAAACTCATACCTTAGTGACCGTAAGATCGTAGTTAACTATGCCAGAACAACATGTGAGAGGGACACCACAAAAGGTTGTGTACAAGGGTCAATCGCAGGACCAACCTTTTGGAACATCATTTTAGATCTCTTGTTACAAAAACTTACAGGGGAAGGAGTACATTGCCAGGCATTTGCAGACGACGGAATCCTTGTAATCTCCGATCATAAGGTCAGTACTATGGAGGAATCAGCCAATGCAGTTCTAAAGAAAGTAGTAAAATGGGGAGAGGGAAACAAATTAACTTTCGCAACACACAAGACTAACGCTATGCTTATAACTAATAAAACTTAAATTCAATCCCCCAGAAATCTACATGTCAGAGCGCAAACTGCAACTGGTTGATCAGATAAAACTCCTGGGAATTATAATAGACCGAAAACTAACATTCAAACCACATGTTACCGCTGTCTGTAAAAAAGCTGCGGAAATTTATAAACAGCTAGCGTGCGCCGCAAAAGTAACGTGTGGCCTAAATGGAGAAATAACAAGCACAATATATGTTGCGGTCATAGAGCCGATTGTGCTGTACGCTTCTAGCGTATGGGCTCCAGTGACAGAACTGCAAATGATTCGCGATCAACTGCATAATCTTCAAAGAGGATTTGCACAAAAAATCTGCAGGGCGTATCGCACAGTATCGCTCACGGCGTCACTGGTACTCTCAGGTCTATTACCATTGGACCTGAGAGTCCAGGAAGCTGCAAGTCTGTACAAAACAAAAAAAAAGGTTTTACATTAGACTATTTACCACCTGGAATGAGATTGGAGAAAAAGGTGAGCTATTTGGATCTTCCACACCCTTCTAAACTCATAACAACAGAGTACGAGCTCCTTGAGGGCGCGGATCTTGAGTATTTGGATTCCCGCCGGGTTACCGGCCCCCATATATATATACAGATGGCAGCAAGATAGAGGGACAAGTCGGAGCTGCTCTAACTTGGTGGGAGAAAGACAAGGAAATCCATTACTCTACGTTTAGCTTAGCCCCTTCATGCACCGTGTTTCAATCAGAACTTAATGCACTTTACAGGGCGGTTCAATTGGCAAGGAATAGCAAAGAAAAGACAGTAAATATTATGAGCGATTCTAGGTCACACTAGGTCTCACTCGACCTGTTGGGAAACCCTAAGTTGATCCATCCTCTGACAAAGCATATAAAAGAGTGCGTAGAAGACATCCGGTCACAGGGGAGACGAGTGCGGTTTTTCTGGCTACGAGCGCACGTGGGGACTGCCGGAAACGAACGCGCCGATGAGCTAGCAAAGATGGCAGCCCAACAAGCCACTAAAACCCCAGACTACGCAGAAGTCCCGTTGTCTTATGTCAAAAGAAAGATCAGAGAAGAGTCTGTACGGAAATGGCAGGATAGGTACAACTCCTCCAGTACAGGGCAAGTCACTAAAACGTTCTTCCCCGATGTAGAAAAAGCTTATCGCATCGTGAGGAAAGCAAAACTGACACCCTACCAAGTGCAAATCATGACAGGACACGGCGGAATAGCTGAGTACTTACATCGGTTCAAGTTGAAAAACAGTCCAGGCTGTGAGTGCAACCCCAACATCAGGGAGTCTGTTTGGCAAATCATCCTGGACTGCCCACGATTCCAGATGGCCAGAATGGATATTGAGTTTAAACTAGATATAAAAATGAATAAAGAAGTATTACACAATATCTTGGATGACGCTGATAAAAGACCGCACTTCTTAAAGTTTGCAGAACATACAATCCGTTTAGCTGCTAAAAGAAACAGTACTCTTTCTTCTGAATTAACTCAGCAAACGATGAATTTAAGTAATATAATAACACAAACCACAGACATAGAATACAGAAGAACAATTAATCAGCCTGCAAATAATCTAGTAGAATATGCTGAACTAGGTAACCCAGGTATTAGACTCAAAACGGTAGCCATGTTTATGGACGACTCCTCCGAAAGGCTGGGTATTTGCTACTGCAATGCGATGGCTCCAAATAGAATAATCATCTCACCTGGCCTCGCCTTACTCCTGAAAGGCAGCACCTTCAAAACGAGCATAAAACGTAAGAGGTATGAGGCGCTACAGAAGATAACAGTAGCAAACAATCACTGCCGAATAGTGCGTATGCGGAACAAAACCATTGCACTATTCGAAAAAGGCGACGACATCACCGAGTTCGCTCAGGCATGCTCAATGCTAGCTGTGCTTACGGAGGCAAGTGAGGCTAAAGAAGTATCACCAAAAATAATAAGCGTAGATGCTATGGTGGTAGAATACGAGAAAGGGAAGGTAGAAGACTACATGGGAGTATTAAAAGCCTCAGAATATCATGAGGTGGTGGTATATGAAGACAGAGGTGAAGACCTCAGTTTTATGAAACCATTCAGACCCAACGAACCTTCACGCTCGTATCCCACTGACAGCAAAGAACACCCTGAAATACGCCCAGAAGAAATATTAAGTGGATCCGTACGCTTGCAACAAAAAATGGACGCCAAAAGGAGAAAAGAAAAGCGAACACGAATAATCCCAGCCGGAACAATAGACAAAGTAGCAGCAGTCGCTAGCACCTTCGGTCAAGTCATTGCTGCAATCCCCGCAGTAATCCCGAAGAAAAAGGAATATCTGCGGTCAACAGAGAAGATAGTTGCTGCTGTTAAGAGCGCCGCAAAGTATTTTCCCAAAGGTCAGACAAGAAAATCCCCATGCAGATGATGAGGACGAAAACAGACATGGGACAAGTCACTCTGCCGAGTCTCAGGGAGGTGTCGGAGCCCCTGGACCACTAGATAAATGCATTCCTCGAGTTTAAAGCTATCGTAAAAGCTACCAGAGAGGTTAACATCATGACATGTAAGAGCATCTTGGAATCTTTTCATCGAGGCTGTGAAGATCAGCTTGAGGTGAAACTCGAGGAATCCGAGGCTGCTGTGTACAACAACGACCCAGCTGAAGTAATTAAAGGGAAATTGTCGGGATTGTACATGGCGGCATACAACGCAACGGTTGGTTTTGTGGCTTTGGACGGGACTGAGACAAAACGGTCGGGCCAAATTGTCTTTCGAACACCTCCTCAGGACCCCATAGTGGTAACAGCAAAGTGTACAAGAGTAATGCTCGAGGACGAGATCTTGGACAGGCTCAAGGCTGTGTCAATGACTTTGGAGAAGGGCGGCTCTCTTGGGCACTGGCAGTTGCCAAAAATAACATGGGTCAATGGCGTACCCGGGTGTGGAAAAACATCCTGGGTTATTAACAACTTCGCGGAAGAAAATGATATCATAATCACTACAACAACTGCAGCTGCAACTGACCTGAGGGAGAGGCTAGCATCACGTGTAGGAGCCGACGCAGCAAGGAAGGTGCGGACTATGGCCTCAATCTTGGTAAATGGCATAAGGGCGTCTGAGAAATACTCTCGTCTTTTAACTGACGAAGCGCTCATGAACCATTTTGGGGCTATAGTAACGGCAGTACAAATCACGGGTGCAAGCGAGATTCTCATTGTAGGGGACAACAACCAGCTGCCATATATCGACAGGCATGATTTGTTCCGACTGCACTACACTCGACCAAATCTTGTGGCTAATATCAACCAAGAATGGCTCTGCACGCACAGCCATTCTTGGTTGATATTAGCCACGCACAAACCCACTGGATGTAGCATATGCACTAAACGAAATCTATGATGGCATATACTCATCCAATACTAGGTTGCGATCTCTAGAGCTAAAGAGGTACATGGGTTCACAGATCCCAAAGTCCCTTGAAAATACTTTATACTTGGGACACACCCAGGCTGAAAAGGAAAATCTCATCAGCCAGGGCTACGGAAAAGGGAAGGGATCGCGAACTCTAACCATACATGAAGCTCAGGGGCTCGTGAGCGAGACGATGGTAATCGTGCGATCTAATAGAGAGAAACAACGCCTATATAACAGTATTCCTCATGCAGTGGTGGCAATCTCGCGCCATACGAGCCATTGCATCTACTACATCGATTGGTGTGAGGAAGATGCAATTGCCTGTTTCATTTTGCGCGCCGAGGCTGCCAACACAAGCAGAATTATTACAACATGAAAATGGCAATACATCATCGAGACTTAAAGGTTGCAAGAAACATTATGAACGTGGTCCGAGATGAAGCGGCGTAAACGACAATCAAACTGATGTTAAATGACATAACCGCAACAATTTTACTTACAATTAAAATTGGAAAATTTTTGTGAATTATAGTTATGTTAGTTATAAGTTAAGTATTAAGTATAAGATGTTTAATATTCATAGTTTAACATGCATGAAAAAAAAGAACAAAATAAAACAAACAAAAAAAAGCCCTGGAAATTTTTAATGAATTAGTTATAAGTATGTAGACAAAAGTTTTAAAACCATAGTTTAAGATGCAAAAATAGAGGAAAAAAAACAACAAAAAAATTACACTAACTGTTAGATATAAGGCATGATATTATAGTAATCTATGTTAATGGAAAAATGTATATTCAAAAAACGCGGAGAGATGTTATAGCTTAGAAACTACATATGTAATGTCATAACAACTATAAAAAAATGTAATAAAGGGTACGGATTACGAGTCTGTAGAGTAGAAAAAAAAACCTAACCTAACCTAACCTAACCTAACCCCCGATCAACTTGGCGAGCCCATCCCGATAACGTGCAAACCATTTATCGACAGGTTATCGAGCCTACAATTACATAGGCAGCAGGTATCTGGGGCCAAGCGGCGAAAAAGCGATTCGTAAGGAAGATCTTGGAGTCGACTCAAAGGGCATAATTTTAATTTCATGTTCTCGTAGGTTAAGGGCCATGCGGGCGACGCTGGTAACGAAATTGCTGATGAGACAGCCAAAGGCGCTGCCACACAACACAAAACCCCTGACTACGCGAAGTTCCCTATGAGCTTTGTAAAAAGGACTATGAGGGAAAAAACTTGGAGAACTTGGCAGACAAGATATGAAAGCGCGGAACAAGGAGCGCGCACTAAAGAATTACTCCCTAAACTGACGGACATTTGTGCACTGTGGAAAGCAACCAAAATATCATTTCAATTAACGCAGGCATTAACAGGTCACGGCTACCACAAGGAATATCTGCATAGATTCAAAATCGCTGCTGATCCATTCTGATCATGTGACAATACCACTACTCAAACGTTAACTCATTTGTTGAGGGAGTGCCCTAAATTTGAGTACAATAGGCTAAGACATGAGATGCTCCGTAGCAATCCACGTATATCACCGTACTGTCTGACAGAACTTTCTAATAAACAAAGTGCTATTTAATCCTTCGTTACATTTATTAATTATATCATAGATAAGCTTAAATGATTCAATAAATTGTAAATAATTTAAACTAATAGACATAGGATAAAGTGTATAAATTTTCTACTAACTTCTTATAATTTAAGTTAATATATATAATTATCACTTCTCCTTTCAAACTTTATGTTTGTTCTTAAGTATACAATAAGTGAATCTAAGTATTTAGACTATTTAATAAAAAAAAATTAAGTTCATTACAAACTGTATATAGCTATGTACAACTCCTTTATAATTCTCTTTTATATGCTAATCACGTTAGTACGATTCGTTGTATACATTATTTTGGTTATAAAACACTAGATTTAATCATCATTGTAAATAAATCATCTATAGACTAATTCATAAGCGATAGATATAGGAATACCTTGTATTTAACTTAAATTAAATCTTATTTTCTCACCTTTCGTGTATATATGATATAAGTAAATCTCTTTCATTTATATATATCTGTACAACTTGATGACTCATATTTTGTTATTAATAATAAGGCACAAATTTTAATGAATGTTAATAAACTGTAAGCTAAGGAATAAATGATAAGCAGTAGACATAAGAATACCCTGTATTATATTTATATTAATTCCGTAATTTTCTTTATTCGTTTTTTTTTATATTTTTTTATTCTTTTTTTTTTTTTTGTTTGTTTGTTAATTTGGTACACCTTTTAATTTACTAAAATATGTAAAATTTCAAGAGCTAAGCTCTAACATTTATAAATGTGCTACTGAGAATAATGATACAAATTTATATTGTTATTAATAATTTCATTCAGTGAAAAAGAATTTTGTAATAGTGATAATATTAAATGGACAGATACCTTATCAATGTATCAAATCGCATTGATGTTAGTTATCTTGTCTTAGAGATTAACAACATACAAAATATAGTGTAAGCCATTTAATGTAATCTTTTGTGTAAAAATGACAATAAATTCCCGTCAAGGACGGTATACTCCTTGGTGGAAAATCAAAAAAAAACCTAACCTAAACTAACCTAACCAGTTGCGCTCTAAACGCTGCCCCGTACGCAGTACTTTTGAACCGCTCCACGATTAAAAATCAAAGTTATAGGTCAAAGTTAACCGATATTCAAGTGTTATACACCAAAAGACGCGTTTTGTCGAGACGAATACAGTGATAGTTTTAGAAAAGTGAAAAGTGCGGAAATCACGAAATCATTAAGGAAAAACAAATTTTTCCTAACCTACAAAATTTCAATGTCGAACGCTGTCGAAACAAAATCTATGACATAGCAGTATATTAGTATCAAAAGAAGCGCCTTCGCAGGCTTCATCATCAGCGACCTTCACTGGATTTTTCTGGCATCTGTGCGTGGAAATATCGCCAGAAAAACAAAACCACGTGGACACGTGTTTCCAGAACGACGAGTCTGCAGCTGATTTTGACAACGTGGTTATAAAGAGCATATCAAAGCAAAACGTCTGACACCTTGAACTCCAAAATCCGACAAGAAACAGAGGAGATATAGAGCTTCAAACATACGAATTTATAACCGAAAATTTCAAAACTGAAAAACTCAAAATTTCCAGCGAGGACCACAAGATTTTCAGTCAATATATAAAAGAAAACTTTAGGACCTACGCATCGACTGAAAAATTTCAGTATTTGGAGCGCATATATTTAAATTAAGTAAGATTTTATTTTATATATAAACACGTGTTAGGCTGAAACCATCCCTGAAAATTCTGAAAAAATTTGGGAAAAACAGCTAGGGTTAAATAAGGTATGTCAAATTTTTTCAGAATTTTATTGCCAAAATTACTTCAGTAATAAGCTATTTGCGGTTTTTGGTAATGGATTTTTGATTTTCAAAATTTTAAAACACAAAAAATTTTAAAACCCAAAAAATTTTCAGTACACAAATTTTAATTACTATATATCCCGAAGGAAAATTTTGTCCTTAATATTACAAAAATTTTTTAAAATTTTTTGACCCATTAATTTTGGATACATTATTTTAAGTTGAATAGCTGGGAGGTCCTGAAAACTCCGTTTTAATTGTGTTTTCAGTTTACAGGAGAACTGAGCCTCCTAGCTCAATTCTGACCATCCATACTATTCTCACCCCCCCATACTATTCAGCTAACGGATAGTCTTCGACCCCCACCGGATCATTTGGACATAGTTTCAACCCCCTACCCCAAAGTCGACTGTAGAAGAATTTCTGGGTAGAGCAAGTAGCATTTAAGATTATAGAGATAAAGACAACTCTAGGAGAGTCAAACATAGACAATAAAAGTTGAAGTTTTTAAGTAATATTTACATTGTATTGTAAGTAAATAAGAACGAAAGTAGAGTCGCGACTCTACATAGAGAAAAAAAATTGTGACGCGAAATTTGTGTTTCCTCATTGACTGGAAAAACTTGCAATATTTGCCTTGATAATCAACGTTTTTATAACTTTTACAAACTTACAATTTTTCTTATTATTTAATTTATTACTATTTATTTTATTTTATCGTCTTATTGGGCGCATATTAATCATAATTAGTTTAAGTATTGACAAAGCCCTCTGAATCTAAATAAAATGTACAAAACACCTCCGCAAAATAAGTCTGCAGCTTCGACGGAGGACTTTAATAAGGGGACCGAAAAACCAGTACCCACGGGTGGGAAAGACAAAGGGTCAACATCTTCGGTAAGGAAAAGCATTGGTGAGCTGGAATCGCGTCTTGGCGCTGCACCAAAAAACATTATAGCTACACTGCCGATGAAGCAAAATACAAAAATTCCTACTGCAAATGAGGGTGATGACAACCAATTGGATAGAGAAACGACCCAGTACTCAAATAGAGCACAAGAAGCAAAAGCACACTTGGTAAGAATAAAATTATTATTAAATAGTTCACGTAACTTAAAGAACGAAATAAAAGATGGCATAATAGAAGCTGCAGACAAATTATATGGTATGACAAAAAATATGGAACAAGGAAAAGGACAAAGCATTGAAAAAGAAAAGTCAGGTATAGGGAATTGTCATGAACTATTTCACGAATTAATAAGAAAATTAGAACAACATAGTGAATTCCTCACCGAATGCAGAACAGAGACCCAACGCTTGAGTGAAGAGGTGAAAAAACACAGGGAGGAGGCTCATCACCTACGCAAGTGTTACAGCAACCAGAAGGCAGCCCCAGGAGTCCATCTCGACCGTTCTTAAAAACACTACGAGCATACCCGCTCAAATGCACTCTATCATAGTCAGGTCAAGCAATGAAAAGGACACGAGTGGTGAAGTCCTGGAAAAGATAAGGGTAGCAGTAAATGCAAAAGAAAGCGGGTTAAGGGTAGAGAAAGTAAGGAAAGCTAAAGACCAAAAGGTGATCGTGGGTTGTGGAACCAGGGAAGACATGGAAAAGGTAGCAAGCCGACTCAAAGCCTGTAATGCCGAGCTTTCTGTTGTGGAGGCCAAAAGCAAAGATCCACTTGTCATACTGAGGGATGTATTACTGATCAACACCGACGAGGACGTAATCGCTGCTCTTAGGAACCAGAACAAGAACTTGCTGGAAACTCTGAATAGCGAGGAGGTAAGATTGGTAGTACGATTCCGAAAAAAGACCAGAAACCCACTTCACTTCACTCATCGAACCTCACATTTGCCAACTTAAAGAAATAGTGATAAAAATGCGTAAAACGGAAGTACTAACAGGAGGAGATACAAATGCCCATTGTGGGGAAGTGCGAAGGAAGACGGACGTGTACAAGCGCTTGCAGGTGAGCTTGATGAACTCAGTTTACACGTACTAAATGAGGGAGATCTGCCAACATTTGACACAATCAGAGGCGGCAAAAGATTCAGTAGTCACGTTGACATTACAGTGTGCTCTGAAAATCTTTTAAAATTGGTGGATGACTGGAAGGTAAACGCGGGCATAACAAGTTCGGGCCACAACACAATACTATTCAAAATTAAAAGCATAAAATCGGAAAAATAATGGAACAGCAATAGCAAAAATGCAAAATGGAGTCAGTTTCATGAGAAACTGACTCAATTATTGAGTAAAAGAAAAATTACCAAAATAAAAATAGACAGTATAAGAAATAGCATAGATTTAGAAAAACATTTAGAGCAATATTTAGACGTAGTAAAAGAAGGATGCGATGCTACAATTCCAAAAAAGAAAAATCTTAAAAAGTACTAGCCTTCCCGACTCCAGCGGCGAATCTGGTCTATGACTCTGCCGCCAACCAAGATCCGGCTGCGGAGGGTAGGGAGAGCGGCGCCTCGCAATACCGACAATCCTCTACCCCCGCAGCCCCACCACCACCGCATCACCGGCCTGCGGCCCCGTTTGAGTCGCGGAGGATATGGCGAGTGGCGCATCACCATACCAACACTCCTCTTCCTCCGCGACTCCACCTCAGCTGCAGCGGTAGGTGGTGAGGACACCCCTCTCACCGCAGTCCACCAGCCACATCGGAGTGGCCACCTCGGGCCAGCCATGTGGGTTCCTCTTTGTTTCGCCGTGGGTGACCAAGCCACGGCTTCTAAGCCCCCCCGCCACGACAAGGCGGGAACCCGGTTGGGGGGGGGGGGAACCTAACCTAACCTAACCTTTTTTTTTTACGGGGAAATCCTCATGGACTTCCCCAGGCAGAAAGGCGGAGGGGTGTGCCGGACTCTTACCGGCTAAAACCACCCCGGTGTCTCCTCGCATGTGCACGCGAGGGGCCGCGGGAATCCAAATTCTTTCGCAGCCCCACACTAGTGCTGGCCCGGTCTGTACGGGCCTCGTCTCTTGCACGGGGTAGTGAGGTGTTCAACTACCCCGTGTATCACCT